TTGCTGTCGTGGAAAACAGCTTTTTTGGTGTCTGTCACTTTGGCAAGGCGAGTGGGGGAAATACTGGCATTCAGACATGATTCTCCTTACCTGTCATTTTTGCCGAATGGTGTCCGTCTTGTTCCTGACATCTCGTTCTTGCCAAAGGTAGTTTCAGAATTTCACCTCCAGGCAGAGGTCTTCCTTCCGGATTTCTTCCCCTCCCAGACATCCCTGGAGGAGAAGCTGTTACACACGTTGGATACAAAGCGTACACTTCTGTTCTACCTACACAGAACTTGTCCAACGAGACATGACTGTCAACTGTTCATTTCCTATGCTCCAGCCAAGCTGGGAACTCGTATCATGGCTCAGCGTTTGTCCAGGTGGATTGTAGGTCTCATCCGCCTCTGCTATCTTATTGCCAAGCAGCCATTACCTGGCCCTATCAGGGCTCATTCTGCTTGAGCTGTTGCAGCCTCAACTGCTTTCCTTCATGGAGCTCCCCTAATGGACATTTGCAGAGCTGCTACCTGTTCATACGTTCATAAGGCACTATGCCCTTGATGTCCGCAAGAACTCTCATACCAACATGGGACGTCACATCTTATCTTTGGCTTCGCAGTAATGACCTGCCAGCACCCTCCTCTAGGTAGGCCACTGCTCGCTATTCTCCCATGGGTGTGAAGCACAAAGACCAAGTCGAAGATAAACAGGTTGCTTACCTGTAACTGATGATCTTCGAGTGATCATCTGTGCATTCACACCACCCGCCCTCCTTCCCCGCTGCTGTCAGCTTCTATGTTTTTATTGACGTTGATTTGCGGCGGTCTGAAGGAACTGGCGGGATGTCCGTGCCCACCCCTCTGGGCATGTGGGGTTGGGGTTCTTGCACATGCCTGAGGCCTGGGCGCGAAAATCCGTTAGAGCTTGCTACAATACCGATTGATCCAGCGCAGGCGCACAGAATCCCCATGGGTGTGAATGCACAGATGACCACTCGAAGATCACCAGTTACAGGTAAACAACCTGTTTTTTTCATTTTCCAAACACTTTCTCAGCATTTCCCCTATTAATTTAGGCGTCTGTATTAAAAATATATTTAAAATGAATTCCCACCTGCCCGTCTGTCTTTGGTGAATATAATCTTGAAGTACAGAAGTGTAAAATGGTTGTATAGGCCGTAATATAATTTGGCTGCATGGGATGGAGAAACTCAAACTGAGAAACATAATTGTATTATTTAGTTTCATAACAATAAGAGTCAGATTCCTTTGGCCTTCCAGGAATCACATGGCGACTACCTATGTTGTTTACGTAGGTAACTCACGACATCTAAAACTACCTTGAAACGAGCAGTTCATCTTTGTTTTGTCATCAGTAATCCTGAAGAAGCTGGAGCAATCTTTTGTCCTATCTTCAGTTAGGCGAGGCTTGCTAGGATACAGCTTACTCTGTTGGCCCGAAAGGACTCTGAATCTAAGATAACCCCTAAAAAAAGGTCATGCACTTTTTTCATTACCATATAGATCTGTAACTCATACACAGATTTAAAATACCCCCCCCCCCTTTGATGCTGCACCTGGGGAAAAAGTTAATTCAAGTTAATATGGTGCTGCAGAGGCAAATGTTCAGTACCAGGACAATGAGAAAGTGGCCAAAGCAAAACCTCCCAAATTCTCTGTCAAGCCTCCCTGGAGAGACAGTACTAAAAAAAAAACATTTAAATTACTTTCATTCCTGCAGTAATTCCAAATAATTTTAGTAGTATGTTATGCATTTTCTTTTACTTGCACACACCCCTGTTTACAGTGAAGGAAAACCATTTCTGCACATGGCAGCTAGTATAAGGATTGGTCCAAAAAGCTGGCTTTCTAGAAACACTTTAGGCAGGAGCTCATATGCCCGCCCACCTCTGCATGGGCAGCGCAACATGTGATGCGGGTTAATATTCATCTGTGCCTCAAGAGTCTGCATCCTTCATCTCGCAAAGGGTACAGAAGGAAGGATTTGTGGGGATTTTCCATGTCTTACATTCAGAGACGAGAGCACCTCTAACCTTACGGTGAGCACAAGATTCCTAAACTGACAACCATGTAAACGAACCCTATGATGGGAACATTTTAATACCCTCTTCTTGGGTATACGGTACCCTGCTCTTGCCCTGTTTCAGGGGTGGTCTTAGCCAGGGGGCAACAGGGCAGCTGACCTGGGCCCCAGTCTGGGAGGGGGCCTGAGCACCCACAGCCCCTCCCTACAAAGGAGGGGGAGAAAGAAGAAGAGCAGGCTCCCGCTGCCGCTCACACCCGCCCCGTCTGAGGCTTGGGCTTCCAGCAGCAGTGCCGGCTCCTGCCCAACTCGCCTAGGATGGGGGCCACCCTTTGCTTGGCTGTGGCAGGGAGGCCCAGTGGAGGGGTAGCATTGATTCTGGGGTCCTGACCTGGGATTTTGCCCGGGGCCCCAGAATTCCTAAGACTGCTCCTGCCCTGCGTACACTGGTATGAGCTTGAAGCAAACCTGGAGGTATGTCTTCCCCCCTCCCCGCCTCCGATTCTTCTTCAGATTATTCCCTAAGTAACATGAATTATTTCCTTTGTATCCTTCTATTGAGAAGAAAAATGGGCGGTTATGCATTTCTGTCTCCTTATTTCTCCTTGGCAAGCACTCCCATAGTAGTTATGCAAAAACAATTTGCTCTCATCCTATGTAATTAGTGGGATTCCCCCTGCACCACATATTAATTAAAATACTTGAAAAGGTTTGTTATGTTCAGTTAGCAAGTGACAAAGGGCAAAGTCTTCAGCGTAGGAACCTGCCTACCTGTTGTTGGGGTGGAAACCAGTCTGCAACATTTTCATTTGATGATGAGTTTAAAACACATCCTAAGGATTATAGTGATTTGTGTCTGATAGTGTTAACATTCATGTTGTAGCTGAGCCAGAATAATTATTTCATTTGTATTTTCTCTTTAAAACATTCAAATGTGCATAGATTATAAAATATGAGCAGCATGTTTTGGAACAGGAATGTGTAACACTCAGTGAAATGTTAAAGTGATTAATCCTCTTCTGTGCAGCTTCCGATGTTTAATTTTGTGGTGTTGTGCTTTTTTCGGAGTCCTGATTTAAAGAAAAGCAAACTTCTAGCCCTCATGAATGTAGAGCCAGGTTTAAAAATGTACTGACTACTGGAATCCCAAACTCATTCTTTCATTTTCAAGTCTGCAATTCTGAGATTTGTCTGGGCTCAGGTTTTCCTGAATTGCCTTTAGGAAAGGAACAAGCATACACATGCAAATCAATTGCATCACCTTTCCTCTTCCTGCACATAACTACAGACAAATTAGTTCATATTTTACTCCAGCTCATATTTGGTACAGAGTATGCCACTTTAGAGGCTTGGCCTGTACATGTAATAGGGGCGTGCATTCGGATCTACCCGAGCTGAAAATACACCCGAAAAATGCTTTTATCGGTATTTTGGGGGTATATTTCGGCATCCCAAAGGTATCAGGGTTTTCTTGGGGGGGGGGATCCCAAGAAAATCCTGGATATATTTGGGAAGTACTGGTAGATCTGAAAACAGGAAGAGGTGGGCGCAATGTTGTCTGTCGGGCTTCTGCAGTCCCTTTAAACTTCTCAGCTGTTTGTCAGACTGCTGCAGTCCCTTTAAACTTTAAAGAGGTTGCAGGAGACAGGCCCCACTGGCTCGGCTTGGGGCTGGTTGGCTTCTCGTCCAGCCCGGTTTAAACCAGGCTGCAAGAGAAGTCAGCCCAGGATCAGCCTCGGCCGGGGCTGGCTCCTTTTGCAGCTCAGTTTAAACTGAGCTGCAAGAGAAGTCGGCCGATTATTGGCCAGGGTGGTGGGAGCTGAGAGCTCCCTTCCACCTCGGCTTGGCATTGGCTTCTCTTGCAGCCTGGTTTAAACCAGGCTGTGGGAGAAGTCAGCCCAGGATCAGCTCTGCCCATGGGGAGCAGACTGCTCCCCATTGAGCATAGCTTCTGGTGTGCAATCCCCCCCCCCCCGGTCTTTTTTCTTCTTGGGTCTACTGGACCCGGGGAAAAACTGGGATTTCCTTAAGATCGCGGATCTAAATATCACGCCAGTATTGGGAACTGGGATTTTTCGGGAAACCCAATTTTTTTTCCAATTCAATATACCCGAATCACAAAAAAGGGGTGGGGGTGGGGATTGCACACCCCTAGCATGTATGGATCAGTTTCCGTGGGAATACTTTGCAGTACAGAAGGTTGTTGGTATGCCCTGCAGGTAACTACTTGCAGTTTGGTCCCAAGCCCATCCTGCTAGGAGAAAAGGCTGGATCCCGCACTGGCTAGAATAATTGACAACATACCTCACGGGAACAGGATGTGTTCAATTACCTCAATTTGGAGTCTGGCCCCTGCAAGCAAACCTTGATGTGCTTTCCTCCTTAGAGAATGCGTTCAGTGAGTCATTCTGTAGCCTCAGGCACTTCTAGATGTCCTGGCATGCTGTCCCCCAGTTCAGTCTATACAGGAAGCTGCCTGGTGGTGGTGGTATCAAGTTGCCGCCAACCTATGGCAACCTGGTAGGGTTTTCAAATCAAGAAGCATTCAGAGGTGGCTTGCCATTACCTGCCTTTGCGTAGAGACTTCCTCGGCGGTCTCCCATCCAAACACTGACCACGGCCAACCCTGCTTAGCTTCCGAGATCTGATGAGGATGGGCTAGCCTGGAGCCATCCAGGTCAGGTCAGGGAGCTGCTGACAGGGCAAGATTTGGATGAGAACGCAGTGCTAGGCTAACAGCACACCCCTGCCTGGCCTTTTCCATCTGGTCCTCTTGGTGTTTATCCAACGTCTAGTTATGGTTGGTGGACTGGATGTGGGTAAGTGGCTTGAGGCCGTGTGCGTGAGACACAGGACACGGGGTCAGTCGGGACTGGTGTGATTGTTGAGGTCCAGCCCTGCCTTGGAACCAGATGGGATAAAAGGATCAGAATGAGGAATTGATATTTCTGTTTCATTCCCCCCTTCCGCAGGGATGACTTTAATATTAAAGTACTTCAGGCTTTTGTTGAACTCCATGAGTTTGCTGATCTCAATCTTGTACAAGCCTTAAGGTAAGCACGCTTAACTTTTTTTTTAAAAAAAGAAAATACATTTTCTTTAAGCGTTTGCAGTTGCGCTGAGCAGAAGCTGCAGATACATTAGGGTGGGGGTGCCCAACCTCGTTGAGACGATGGGCACATATGGAATTTTGGGAGAGGGTAGTGGGTGGCAGCCCCACAAAATGGCTCCTCTGGGGGCACGGCCAATCACAGAGCAGCTGCCGTGTGAGCAGGATCCTTCTCAGAATATTGGAAGGGTCCACCCTGAGCACCCTCAGCTTGCCACCCTGTTTAAAAATGGCCACAGTGTGTATGCGGCCGTGAAAGATGGCTTGCTTCCCCTCTTCTCCGGCAATATGTAGCCCCAGGGAAAATGTTGGATGGATTATAAGAGCATGTCTGTAGGGCAAGACGCAAAATATCTGTATGAAATGACTGAGTCCCCACACCCAAGTCCTCTGTTTGGTGTAGTGGTTAAGTGCGTGGACTCTAATCTGGAAGAACCAGGTTTGATTCCCCACTCCTCCACTTGCAGCTGCTGGATGACCTTGGGCAAGTCATAGTTCCATCAGAGCTGTTCTCTCAAGGACAGTTCTGGAAAGAGCTCTCTCAGCCCCACCGACCTCACGGGGTGTCTGTTGTGGGGAGGGGAAGGGAAAGGCTCTGAGACTCGGAGCGAAGGGCAGGGTATAAATCCAATTTCCTCCTCTTCCTCCTCCTCTGCACTGTTTGGGGCAGGGGTCCCAAACCTTTCTGAGCCTGAGAGCACCTTTGGAATTCTTTTTGGGGGTTTGTTTTTTGGGTGAGTATTTTGTGTGTGTGTGTGTATATGCCTGGAAGTCATGGTTGACTTCTGGCCACCCCTAATGGGGCTTCTACGTTTCAGAGAGGCGGCTTGCTATTGCCTGCCTCTGCGTCCCAGCCCTGGTACTCCCTGGCGGTCTCCCTTACAAGTACTTGCCAGAGTCGGCCCTGCTTAGCTTCCAAGGTCTGATGAGATTGGGCTCGCCTGGGCTCTCCAGGTCAGGGCAGCACCTTTGGAATTCTGACACAGCGTTGTTGGCGTAACCACACAATGACTGCCACAGAGGGGGAGCTGGCCACACAGTGGAGATCCTTGTGCTGTGGTAGCAGCTGCTGCCAAAGCAGTGTTTGTAAAAATCTTCACAGCCAGTAAAATCTTGGCTAGATCTTGCAGGTGAAAAACCCCTCCCATTTTCTAAAAACACCTGGCAGGCACCACTTTGGGAACCCCTGGTTTAGGGGCTCCTCAGCAGGGCTTCTTAGTGGACCAAAGTGATGTGGGTTGAGGCTCTGTGGAAGAAGCCCTGTCCTGGAGAGCCCCAGCTAGCCTGATCTCATCAGATCTCAGGAGCTAAGTAAAGTCGGCCTTGGCTACTATTTGGAAGGGCGTCCTCCAAGGAAGACCCAGGGGCGTGATGCAGAGGCAAACCACCTCTGAGACGTCTCTCACCTTAAAAAACAAGTCTAGCTCGCCACGTAGTGGTGCACAACACTAAAGAGCTAGAACGTCTGGCTGCCAGACAATCTTAGGCTCTCCTGGCTGTTCTACACACAGTGCCGTACGATGATTAATTAATCATTTATGTGAAAGAAGAAAACTCAAAACCCAGTTGTCCGAAACATTCCAGGCAGACATCTAGCCAGCCAACAGGGATAGTTTTTAGCTCTCGTATATTTCAGTAGGATGGATGCTGTTGGAATCTAGAGGACTTTGACGTACTTAACTCTGCCTAGGTTGTCCCCGTTCCCTTTCAAATACGCTAATATGTCTGGCTCACCTTGACTAATTACTGCTGTGGCAATTGTGCTTTCCTATACATCGAAAGAGTTGGCTTGGCTGTCCTCGAAAACACCCTTTCGCATCTAGTGGGTTCGGAGAGAAAGGGATTTCTATTTCTTGGAGAAGCCACCAAAACAGTCTTCTACTAATTTGTTAGGCCGCTGGTTCTTTTTGGGGAAAATACCCTTTGATACAGAGATACGTGATTTCTGATTAGGATGAGCTTGTTACTGGTGAGTTAGCAGAAGAGGAAAAAATGCTACTGCTGCTGCCATGGATCTTATCTGGTACGAAAATTGTGTTTGTTATCTGCGCAGGCAGTTCCTGTGGAGTTTCCGGCTTCCAGGAGAGGCACAAAAGATTGATCGTATGATGGAAGCTTTTGCTTCGCGTTATTGCCTTTGTAACCCCGGAGTCTTTCAGTCTACAGGTTAGTGGTGATGGCTTTCCTATCCCAGTTTTTAAAAAACTGTATTATTACGGGTAGGTACAATGAATAATGTAAGATGAGTGCCGCCGGAGTGCACTGGGGGACCATCTTGTCCAGCAGCGGCTGATCGGATGCCTTCAGAAAAGCCCTCAAGGAGGACAGAAGGTCCTGGGTTCAGTCTTTCGCGTCTCCAGTAGAAAGGATCAGGCAGTTGGGTGATGTGAAAAACCTCTGCCTTAGACCCTGGGAAGCGGCTGCCTGTCTGAGTCAGACAATACTGACCTTGATGGACCAGGCAGCTTCATGTGTTCATGTGACATGTGGGCAACAGCCTTCTCTTGCAGTTGCCTGCCCAGCAACTGGTGTCCACCTGTCTGTCTGTTACATATTTATCCTCCCTTGGCACACGTGTTTCCCCTTCTTCTGTTTTATCCTGTCCATTCTATGCGCTTGGTTGGGCTGGCTTGCCCAAGTTCATTTGTGGCAGAGTAAAGGTTCAAACAAGGGTCTCTCCCAAGTCATACCTCCCTGTGATTGACAGGAAGCAAGCTGTAAGTCTGTAAGAACCTGGGTAAGTAACACTGTTTAACCACTACATGACTGTACATGAAGCTGTCTCCTACTGAAGAAGACCATCAGTCCATCAAAGTCGGTATTGTCTGAGAGGTGATATGATAACCATCTTCAAGTACTTGAAGGGTTGTCTTATAGAGGGTGGTGCGGAGTTGTTTTCTGTTGCCCCAGAAGGTCGGACCAGAACCAACAGTTTGAAATTAAATCAAAAGAGTCTTCGGCTAAACATCAGGAAGAACTTCCTGACAGTTAGAGTGGTTCCTCAGTGGAACAGGCTTCCTTGGGAGGTGGTGGTGGGCTCTCCCTTCTTTGGAGGTTTTCAAACAGAGGCTAGATGGCTATCTGTCAGCAACACTGATTCTGTGAACTTAGGCAGATCATGAGAGGGAGGGCAGGAAGGGTTGCCTCAGTGCTTAGTTCTTGTGGCCCTTTGTTACACGCCCAGGAAAATGCTGATTGCCACTTTGGGGTCAGGAAGCAATTTTTCTCCAGGCCAGTTTGGCCAGGGATCCTGAAGGCCTTTTGTCATCTTCTGAGCACAGAACAGGGGTCACTGCAGGTGTGGAGGGGGAGGTATTTGTGTGCAGGGGGTTGGACTCGATGGCCCTGGAGATCCCTTCCAACTATGGTTCTATGATTCTATGATTCTACTTGGACTGGCAGCAGCTCTCCAGGGTCTTAGGCAGGGGTCTTTCCCATCACCTATGACTTAAAGTCCTTTTAATTGGAGATGCTGGGGATTGAACCTTGGACCTTCTGCATGCCAAGCAGAGGTGCTTCAAATGAGCTGTGACCCCTCCCCATAGAACAGTATTCTTAGCTGTGCCTTAAGGGTGTCCTGTGCTGTCCCATTCTGTGCTGTCTTTCTGTTTTACTAACACAGGGCGATGAATTCAGAAATGTCATTGGAGGGAAAGTATCGCCTGCCAAGTTAGCTAGTGGGTAATGTGCGCAGTATATGGCTGTGTCTTCCCCAGTTTCGGGGTGGGTGGACTGGATGAGAGTGGTTAAATTATAAGACACCCTTGACAAATCTGTCACGTTTTTATCCCATCTGTCCTCCAACGATGCTCAGGGATATATGGTTCTTCCCATTTGGTCTTCTCAACAGCCCTGTGAGGTAAGGTGTTCTGAGAGAGAGGGTTTGGCCTGATGTGAGTTTATAGCTGGGTCAGGATTTGAATCTGGATCCTCATCAGTCATGGCTCTCTGCACCACTCTGAGTCTTCTCACCTGTAGCCTCGTCCGCATTTCCTCTTGCGGTTTTATCTAATGATGAGCGGGAAGTCAAGAATAAATCTATAGTAGTTCAGAAGTCAAGTTTACAGAAACAATATTCTTGAATGCATTCAGATGAATTTCTCCCCCACCACATCACAAACATAGAATATGTTTCACAAACATCAGAATTGGTGTTCAGAAGTCAAGAGGTGTAGAGTTCAGCTTCTTTCTCTTTTTACAGAACAGTAATGGGAAAGGGAAAAGGACTTAGAATCAGAGAGTTGGCAGGGGCCCTACAAGCCATCTAGTCCAACCCTCCGCTCAATGCAGGATCAGCCTAGAGCACCCCTGACCTCACTGATTTTACGCGGTGCAATGCTGTGTTAATTATTCTGCTTTTGATGTTGCTTTTCTCCCCCCAGATACATGCTACGTGCTATCTTTTGCTATCATCATGTTAAACACTAGCCTACACAACCACAACGTGAGAGACAAGCCAACAGTGGAGCGGTTTATATCTATGAACCGTGGCATTAATGAGGGCGGTGACCTCCCAGAAGAATTGCTGCGGGTAAGCCGCTTTGAAAACAGCAGAGTTGGTTGCCTTCCTGCTTTGTTGTGAGGCCAAGGAATGAATCCTTCGGTTCTGGCACTGATCTCTGTGGGAACCAGCACAGTGGTGGAATACGATACCACGTGGCAGTGGATGGTCACAGAGGGAGAGGGATCTGCTCTCTCCTAAAAGAGGGATCTGCTGTCTCCTTAAGCAGTGTGTTCAAAGATGGATCTGCTCTTAGCTAATGCAGTTCTGGTCTCAGGTGCAGCCCCCCCCCCATCCATTCTGCTCATGACCTTTAAAGCCCTCCCTAGCTTAGAGAGAAGAAGAGAAGAGATTGGACTTATACCCCGCCCTTCACTACCTGAAGGAGTCTCAGAGCGGCTTACAGTCTCCTTTCCCTTCCCCTCCCCACAACAGACACCCTGTGAGGTAGGTGGGGCAGAGAGGGCTCTTTCCAGGACTGCCCTTGAGAGAACAAGCTCTGAGAGGCGTTTCAAAAAATAAGGAACAGAGTACAGGAGATAGAGCTAGTCAATTTATACAATGCAGCCAATAAGACCTGCTCTCCTCTTAGCCACGGGATATTCCCCACTGTAGGACTTCTCCCTAGTTATTTTACTGATTACAAACCCCAAAAATCCGCAGAATTTTTTCTCTTGCCAGGCTTAATGTTTTAGCGGCAGCGATATTAACCGGAAGATTTCAGGGTATACCATAGGGTATTTTGGGTGCGCATTACCGGTGATTTGCCATCTAGCCTAAGATGAGTTAGCAAAACCGGATCTCCGTAAACAGGGCTATGCAAGTTCTTTCTCAGGGAAGAATCGACGCTTGTTTCCCTTCATGATATTTGCCCTTCTTCCTTTTCCAGAATCTGTTGACTTTGGCTCTCGGGCACACAAATGTTGTTCACCTTTCTCCTTCCCCTTTCTGTTTTCTTTCAGAACCTGTACGAAAGCATTAAAAACGAGCCCTTTAAAATCCCAGAGGATGATGGGAACGACCTAACCCATACGTTTTTTAACCCAGACCGAGAAGGTTGGCTGCTGAAACTAGGTCAGTAAGAGAAGGGATCTTCCCTCCTGGCTTATTTTGCACTTTAGTCAGCAACGTTTTGCATTTGGGTGCTGCTCTGATTATACAGATCTGTTGGAATGAAACGACTATTCATGTCCACTCCAAAGGTTCACTTCGAAAGTGTTGCCAGTCAAGATTCTTTTATATAACGATCCCTTTATTGGCTCCAGAGTTAGCAGTGTTGGGTGGAGTTTGAGTCTGGCATCCTGGGAAACATGAGAGGAGAGGGATTTCTGCCCCCTTGTATGTAGGCCTGCCAGATAAAAGAGCAGTTCTGTTTGTTTGAAACCGTTCCCAAGAATGCTGTAGTATTAGCTTTGCAGCTAGGATTTCTGCACACAGGCAAAACAAAAACAAAAAGAGCAAATTTTTCTGTCTCTTTTTCCAAAGAGTAAGACTCGCGTCTGGTGGCCCCTTAAAGACTAAGAAGATTTCCTGGGCGTAAGCTTCTGAGAAAGCTCCTACCCTGGAAATCTTTTTGGTCTTTAAGGATCCTCTGGATTCGAACCTTGCTCTTCCTACCGCAGACCAACATGGCTTCCCACCCTGAAACTTATCCTCACAAAGGTTATTCCTGTATGTCTTCTCTCCCCCCCCCCCCCCCACTCTTGATTTTTTTTTTCCCCCCCCCCCCACCCCCATACTTGTGTATTTCTGTTTTGGCTTGATTATTTTGGCTATGATTTTTGAAACGAGTGTTTTTTTTCAAATGTGCCTTCTTGTTTTCCTTATGGCCTATGACCTCTCACCTTTCTGTTCTGTGACTGGCTGTCTCTGCTTATTCTGCGTTAGGAGGTACGTACCTGACGGCTTTTCTAGCCTCACTCTTGTTCTGTTGCCTGTTCCTCCATTCTCCCCCTGTGCACACTTTTTTCCCTTCCTCCTTCCGTTTCCTTTTTTTAAAAAAAATTCGGCCTCGGTGGGATCACTGTGCTTGTCACTTAATATCACTAACTTCAAGAGAAGCCGGTGGGATTCTGCTGCTCCCTTCTGTTAGCGTGTTTGTTCACTGACTTGAAATGCGACGTCAGGGCTCACAATCTACCCCTGCAGGCTTTTTCTGCAGATCCCTGTAGAACGTGAGAGCCGAGCGCGGGGCCCTTGTTTTGCACACAGTCTGTGTTCTCTGATGTCCATCTTTCTGGTAGAAATTACTGCACCTCCCGTCCTATTCTTCGATACCCCCCCCCCCCGGGTTGAATGACTTCAGCGAGATACGACCGCCATAGGAGGTCTCCCTGCTTTGATCGTACTTGTGTCGTGTCAGTCTCTTTCAATAGTTAAAAAACCCAAAGCCCGAAGATGTATCACAGGATTTAATCTAGGCTAAAGTGTGTTAGTTTAGCAGTTTGACCAGCTGATATACAGATGCTTACGTGTATAGTGAAAATGCAGAGTTGTGTTGGAAGAGGAGCTCTGGAATGCTCACACTGCAAAAAAAAAATGACAATCAATCTGAATTCTTGACTCACAGAATGCTGTTTCCTCTGGTACTTCTTTTAAAATTGTAAGCGGCTTTGGAGGCTTTTATCGAAAAGCCGGGTATACATTTTTAAGTATAATAAACATCTTGGACTTGGTGCTGCCCCTCCTGAAAGGAGGCAGGATCCCGGGGGTGAGTTCATGTGCTTAGCTTTGGGGCAAGAGCCTCTCCGGACTTTGTAGATAAAGGTGGAAGTGCTTCAGAGCCACTTTGGGGTCTCCAGCTTTGTGGCAGGGAGTGAGATTGCGAGTGGGGCCTGTGCCTTGGCCCCTAAAGGGAAAGCGAGCCCCAGAGTTTGAGCCTCTCTGTTCAAACGAGTCAGGCAAACATGCATTTTGGACGTGGAAATGGGAGATGCCAGCATCCGCACATGGCATGCCTGTTGGGCAGGTATAAAAGCTCATCTCGAGGTTTTTTGAAAGCTGTTTCAGCCGATGGTCATCCTGCTCCTAACCTGGGATTCTTCCCATCACCCGCAGCCCTTGTCTGGACCAAAACCAAGGCTAATTTCCTCACTTGCAGCAGTGTGGGTTGGATTCGATTACTTTTAGCTTTGACAAAAGGCGACGGCCGGCTCCGGAACCAGAAAGCTCTAAGGCTTCGAAATCAGCACACCGGTGTGGTTATGCTTAGGCAGAAGGTGTACGGTCTGGTTTTACAGCATACAACTAAAATGCAATACTTTCGAAAGGGCAGGTTTCCCAGTTCCCTGCAGACTGGGGAACGCTCAGCAAAGAGCTTTCCAGCAGCTTCAGACTTCTGAGTTTATCTGGGGTTGCTTTTGCAGGCCCTGCATGAGGAGGATTAGTTCCGGGCCAAGTGAGGGGGTGGCGGCTGAAATCAAATCCCCCCTTTTTCTTGCCCTCCCTAGTAGACATCGCAGCTGGACAAAGACCTCTCAGGCGACAGATCTGGGGATTCGGTATTTCTGTGTCAGGATGAGGTTTCTTTCCCCCCTTCTGATGACAGCGTCTGCTGGCTCAAGCTCAGCTAAACAGTCTGGGTACTAAAGCATTTGTTGTAAATAACTGAGGTCTGGCTTCAATTATTTCCTCTTCTGTTCAAGAGGTAAATATGCTTGTTGGAGTATCTGAGTTACTGTTGTTTCTCTCTCTCTCTCTCCAAAGGCTTATTGAAGAGGGACTGATTGGTGGTGAGCCCTGTAAGTTAGGATACGAGAAGGCGGAGTCATCTATCTCTTGTACCTGGCAGTATTGAATATTGATTTTCTTGTCCAGTTTTCACATGCTTTAGGAGTTGTGACGGGCCTCACACCAGTGTCTTTTATGAATCCGCGTTTTATGGGAAATGTCATTTGTGAAGGGCGTGCTTTTTTGTCTCCAAACAATTCCAAGTCATGCTTCAGAATTTTATTTTTAAATCTGTTGCGCACCCTCTTCTAACCATCTTAAGCCTTCCTGAGTGGATTAAAAAAAACAAAACACCCTACTAGTAAGAGAATGCTTTTTTCACATCTTAGGCAACAGCAGGCTTTGCTTTGGCAATCTAAAGGCCTTTAATTATTACATTACATTACATTTCCAATTTCTATACCGCCCATGACCCCTAATGGGTCTCAGAGCGGTTTACACTGTACTACTTTCGTAGTTTGTTTACCTAGCTAGGGCCACAGATTCACAGGGAGGGGATTACCTAGCAGCACCCTGCGGCATATTACCTCCTCATCGGGCGTTGTTCCTGGCGTCCGGGAGGCTGGCGACCAACTCGGCAGGCTCTGCTGGCATCTTCCTTCGGCACGCACTGCTTTGGACTGCAGCTTCCGGCTTTACCTCCCCTTCGGGCTCCTGCCATGCTGCGTCGTTTCGCAGTTGCGTCACCCCGCCTCCGCCTCCATCCGATCTGGTCGTCGCCTGGATTGCCCGGTTCCGCCGCCATTGTTCTTTCGCCGCCGCCTTTCTCACCGCCGCCACCGTCAACACTCCTGGCACGGAACCAGGAGGAGGGTGCCCCCTGCCAACTATGGCAGGTACCCATTTCTCTACTTGTATTACTTTCGAGCTGCTGGGTTGGCGGGAGCTGGGACAGGGGCCGGGAGCTCACTCCGGCCGCGGTGGGGATTCGAACAGCCATTATGGCTGTTCGCTATTGATGTTACTTGCTTTCTACCTCACTTGCCATATTTCCCCCCCTATTGCAACCCTTGCTGTCCCTTTGAGAACCTCTCTTTGACGTGAGGACGGCTTCTCCTTGCACGCTGCTTTGTGTTATTTCTGGCCAGTCCTAAAGAAAGGCATTACAAGCAGCGTTCCCTCTAAGCTGAGTTAGTTAGTTTTTTAGCTTCCAGCTCACACATTTTTGTTTTAGCTCAGGAAGGATGGCTCCAGAGCAAACTAATTTATGCAGCAGCCAAATCACTTGCCCACAACTCTAATGCCCGTAGCTCACAAAGTAGAATTTTTGCTTACATGACTCCACAACTTAGAGCAGGGGTGTCAAACATGCGGCCCAGGGGTCGGATCAGGAGGGCCCCGGAGGGCTTGTATCAGGCCTGCAGTGGAACTGGCTGTCTTCTGCTTCTTCTTCCAGTTCTGCTGCCGCTGCATCATTGTAGGGTTGCAGCTTACAGATACACACCTGAACAGCACACTCAAGATTGCAACAGCACAGACATTTTGAGGCAGTAATTCAGAGCAAGAGGTGTCAGTTATCAGACACTGTTAAATAAGCAAAATATTGCAAGAGTGCTAATGTTTTAAGCATGTTTTTATTTTAAGTAAAAAAAACCCCTTTGTGTTTGTGTCCTTTATAAATATGTGAGTTTATATCTCCGCTACCTGGCATTACATTTTATGACACACATGGCCCGGCCCAACAAGGTCTCATTTATGTCAGATCCGGCCCTCATAACAAATGAGTTTGACATCCCTGGCGTAGAGGGAGCATAGATTATGCTTTTGTTTTGGGGTTTTGGTTGGGACTTAAGCAGCTGCCCGCGACCTCCTTCGAGTGAGACGCTTGTCTTTTTAATTGGGTGACCTTATAAACCAAGTCTTCTCTTCCCTAGCTGTAAGGTTTCACGGGCTTCAGCTGCCTGTATTGATTTCCAGGTAGTGCAGTTGCGTTTTATGCAATATTTGGTGTGCATCAATGTTCCCTCTAAGCTGTGGAGTCTTGTGAGCAAAAGCTCTACTTTGTGAGCTACTGGCATTAAAGTTGTGAGCAAGCAACTTGGCTACTGCAGAAATTAGTTTGCTCTGGAGCTATCCTTCCTGAGCTAAGACAAAAATGTGTGAGCCAGAGGCTAAAAAACTGTGAGCTAGCTCACACTAACTCAGCTTAGAGGGAACACTGGTGTGCATGTGTGTGTGTCAGTATGAACATGCCGCTTGTTGCTCTGTGTCAGATAAGAAGATAGTGCTGACCTATTTCAGGGCTTCCCGAGGCAGTCCTCTGTGCGGCAAGATGTTTCTGCTGTAGAAGGTGGGATGGTCTCCCCTCTCCTCTGGAGCAGAGCATCGTGAGTGTAGAAGCCAGC